ATATAATTTAATCATTATACATATTGTATTTTGTAGGTTATAAAATACAGGTATTTTCTCAATGTGAAGTGTTTTTTTGGGTTTATTTTAGTGATAAACCTGAAACTAAAACTATTCTAAATAGTATTATTAGGACATCTCCTATGCAATCTGTACAGAGATCTTGCTGTATTTTTCAAAATAATGTAGAATCAAAAGTATTTTGTATTAATTTTAGTGAATTTTAAAAAGAAAAGTAAATGATGTTTCTCTTTATTAAAAAAATAGGCTGCAGTAAAATATCATGGTGATAGATCAAAGGAAAGTTTAGTGAGTTTCGCCATGCAACACATTAGAAGCACAGTTACAGAATTATGGACAGGTAATTTTATTTTCTCAATTTGCTTGGTGTTCGCAGATACTTTGAAATTGGTATTTTAAATTTTTCAGTGGCAGTGTTACCATTTTGATCATAATATTGAAATTTTAAAATATCTTAGAAGAAGTTGTGTCATTTGTTTGGACTTCTAAATAGCAGGCTCAAAACGAATCATATTTTTGCCGAAACTTTAACAATTAAAATGTGGGAGATGGATATGAGATGGGGGCTAGGTAAAAAGGCAACTTTCACAGTACAGCTAAATGTTTAGTAAACCAAGTTTTATTGCTTTCATAAATATCAGATAGTAAAATTATGCCTATCTGGTTTAATTTTAAAGTTTAAAAAACTTTAAATCTTCAGCTTTTAATTCATCAGGTGACTTAAAGTGAATCATTTGTACTACCCATGAAATGATGGTATTCACACATAATGGCATGTTCATATCATTCATTGAATACAAGTTATGTCTCTGAAGCTATGTTAAGTACTAGGGCTGCAGTAATAAAACATAATTGCTGCCTTCAGGGACTTGATTATTTTAGTGAGAATCAGGGACTTGATTATTTTAGTGAGAAAGACACTAGTAAATCATTAAAATTCAATGTAGTAACGATTATAATAGGGACAAGTTTAGGGACATAAGAAAAATACCAAATAACTCAGATGGGGAAAAGATGAAGGGTTAGAAAATGCTTCTTGAATGAGGTCAAACCCAGTCTAACTTGCAAATGAAGAAGAAGCCTTCAAAGATGACTGTATTTTTGGGAAACTGGCAATACTTCATCATAAATCTAACAAAAAGATGGACATTGAGGTGGAGTGGTATGGGGAAAAATGTGGCTGGCTGAATGGGTAGACAAAGCTCCGATCATAGGGATCTTACTTGCCAATTTGAGTTTCTCAATAAAATAATGAACTTCGATTTCATGTGATGAAAAAAATGGGGAGCCAATCAAGGAATTTGGCATGACTGAAGATTTTTAGGAATTCTTGAATACTACTCAGAATGGATTGGAAAAGAGAGGATGAGACTAGAAGGGAAAAACATCTAGAAAACTGTTTCCATAATCAAGTAATAGGTGATCAAATTTGCTTTATTTTCTTTAAAGGAAATTTTGTTAACGCCATACAAACTGCTTTTGCTGCTGGTACTGGCTGGCTGATTACTTTTTGTTCCAAAGGAGGAGGTAATTTTATTTGTTACTTTGTTACAGTGAAGAGACCATGACATTTAATTTTTAGGTGACAGTCTTTGTTTTCCAGTTTATTGAGATATAATTGCCATATGACACTGTGTAACTTTAAGGTGTACAGCATAATGACTTGATAAATAATACGTTGAAAAGTGATTACCTCTGTAATGTTAACTAACAACTCCATCTCCTCACATAATTACCATTTCTTTTTTGTGGTGAGAACATTTAAGATCTACTCTCTTAGCAACTTTCAAGTATATGATATAATATTATTAACTATAATCACCATGCTGTATATCAGATCCCCAAACTTGGTAAGCTTATAACTAGAAGTTTGTACCTTTGACCACGTGATAGTCTTAAGTATGCTACCATAATTGACTATATAATACTTCAAACTACCATTTTGAATTGAATTACAATTTTTTATTGAATGAATTTTTTACCTTTTTTCATTTTACACATAAGAGATTATAAAATTACTAATTTCTTGAAGAACTCATTATGGTTTTATGTTTGGTGAACAAGTTTTTCAGCTTAATTATAAGTCATGATAAATTATATCTTCTAATAGCCACAGATGTATTTAGCAGTTTGTCAGATTAGTTGTTGATAGGTAAGACCCTCACAAAATAATAATTTTTTTGAATTAATGGACTTGGCCTCATCCTTAGGCATATCAAAAGTGTACATGTGTATACATATGTATACATGCTTCATAAAATTATGTATTTGAAGATGACAGCTTTGCAGTTCTGGGAACCTTTCCTGCGGTAAATTAAACTGAAATTTTAATATCTTACATTCCAAATCACAAACTATAAACTCTATTCAAACAATGAGATTGGTTAAAAATTGGCCCCAGTATTACAGAATATCCTGATCCATTAGTACATTTTCATATGTTAATCCCCACATGGATCTTTTCCCACACTTCATCTCTCAGCTTTTATGCTGCTGTGTCAAGAAAGGATTGCCTTGCAACTAAATTCAGCTACTCACCCCTTCCTGTATGCCTATCAGGAAGGTATTGCCTTGCAACAAAAATCACCCTGAAACTTTGTCTATCATCTAGGGATTTTGTCTCATTTGGGCCTAATGCCCAAAGGTTTCTGTCCATTCCGCCCATGAAAAGAACTTTTAAAACTTTCTGACATTGTTTTATTTTCACCCCAGGTAGATTGAATTGCCTGTCTTTATATGCTCTGTGATGTTACAGTTGCCTTTCTTCTAAATTTATCTTGTTTTATTCTAGCATTCATATTTAACAGAACTTTCACAAAAATAATGAAGAAGTTGTTTTAAGATTGCATTGTATTTAAAAGATTCTTTCCATGTCTTTATCAGATAGATGCATTATATTATATTTCTCCCAGATCATGAGATCTCTTGAATATAGAGGATTGTTGATAGGAGCAGAGATTGGAGAGTAAGACCCTAAAGAGATGCTTGAGAGAAATAAAGGGAGGGAATGAAAAAATGAGTGAGAGAGAATGCTTGCATGCACGCGTGCATTGTAGAATGAGGCTTTGTTTTCAGTATCTACCTAGTAAATAAAAGTTTCAATATTTACCAGTAGAGCCCAGTTAATTGCCTCAGCATCAACATAGATTGGAGGAAAGGCAAAGGAAAGTATAGATTTAATAAAACTAAAATTACCTTGTAAGTTTCTTTTCCCCTTAGACTGTTTGACATCACAGACACGTCTAAGGCTTAGTGGCATGTTGGTAAGTATCAGTGATTTTTTAGAACTGTATCACCATGTTAAGAAGCACTTTAAAAATTATTTCAAGTATTTCTTTAGTAGTTTCTCAAATACTAACTCACTTATTTGTAATCTATGTTGATTTCTGATAAATGTGTTAATAGCTATAAAAGTTTATAATTAGATCTCTAATTTTGACATATGGTACTTTCATTGTCATTCACTTCTAAGTATCCTGTAATTTAGTCAGGAATTCTTCTTTAGCTGAAGAGTTATACATTATGTGTGTGTCATTTCCAAACTTTAGTTTTTGTTGTTTTTCTTTGCTGTTATTTTATTGCTTATTTAGCTGTCATCATATTATGGTTGGGGAATATAGTCTGTGTTTTTGATAATTTAACACTATTGAAGCTCCCTTTGTCCTGGGAGTTTTTCAGTTATGAAATTGTGAAAGTTATATGTGTCCTCAAAAAAATGTTTTCCGTGTATGTTAGGCATAATTTTTCCATTATTAGACCAACTTTATTAATCATATTACTCATATCTGCATCATTTATTTTTTTAGTGCTCTTTTAAGAAAAGTTTTAGTTAATTTCCAATAGAAAAGTTTAAGTTTTCTCAGTGAAGCTAATCCCTTTAATTTTTTTCTTCCACTTACCACACAACCTATTTTTTGTTCCTTTCCATTTTAGGATGGTCTTGTTAATGTGGGATGGATGGACTGTGCCACCCAGGACAACCTTTGTAAAAGTTTGGATATTACAACAAGTACTACTGCCTATTTTCCTCCTGGAGCCACTTTAAATAACAAAGAGAAAAGCAGTATTTTGGTATGAATCACTTTAATTTCCTTGCATATAATTGGGCACACATTCAAACATGATACTTCATTTTGTAAACAATGAGCAAGGAAATGAATCTATGTCATCTGATTATGGAATACTTTATTATTTAAAACAAATAATTTTGGGAATTCTATATAATACATACTTCAGTCGGTGAAGGCTGCGAGGATTATTTTTATACAAGCCATTACACTTTTAAATTCCAAAGGTATGGGATACATTCTTAGGTTATATAAATTTTTCATTGTTTTCCATTTATTTGTGTATTTTCTAATATTAAAATATAGATTATTGGTAGGTTTGACTGGAACCCAGTATCTGTTTTTTTAAAGCACCCTGTCAGATTCTGGTATGAACTCAGTTTAGAGAGCTACTGGTATAGTTCACCTCCCTAATTTTTATGAATAAGGAGACTGCGGTTCAGGCTAGTTGTCAAGGAGTTGAGAGAGAATGAGATATTGGATGGGCTCCTAGGAAACCTCAAAAGAAACTTTAGTTTTTGTTTGTATATTTTAGTTCTTTTTCTGATGGAATAAACATACTCATTACAGAAATTAATGTATAGTATAGAAATGTGTAATGAAAGATGCAAAATTCACTAAAACCAAATCACCCATAAACAAGCACCATCAAATCGTCGTAAACGCACTATGTACGTATCTGCAATTACGACTTCATGGTGACAGCTCTCGAGGCCCAGACTACTACCTACCTCTACTCCAGACACGTACATCTTACTGCCTATACAACATCTCCCCAAGGGCATTACTTGATCTCTCAAACTTAGATGTCTGTAACTATACTCCTAATACACTCCCACAAATCTGCTCCACTCACAGTTTTCCCCATCTCGGTTGATAAAAACTCCATTCTTTATCATTCAGGCCCAAGTACCTTGGAGTCCTTCTGGACTCCTTTTTCTCATACCTTATAACTGGTTCTTCAGAAAATCTGTGGCTCTGTCTTTTAAATCTTTCCATAATCCACCCCCAGTACTACCAGAACACTTGATCATATAATATATACAGTGTTACTTTTTTATTTGTATTGTTTTTCTCATGCAGTACTTTTCTAAGTTTGGATTTTTCACTGATATATTTCAAATCTCTAGAAAAGCATTGGCCACATAAGTAGATACTATATATATAGTGCCTTTATATATTATGTATACTATGCACCAGGTAACTAAATCAACAATCCCTGAATAGTTGTCAGTCCATTGAGTCAATAGGACATACTTAATCAGTCCTTTCTTGATACTTAAGTTGTTTCTACTTCTTCATGATTATAAGCAATGTTTTAATGGCAGTCTTTTTATCTTTATATACTCCTTCAGTTATCTATTTAGAATGAGGTAGCTGCCACAATTTTAAATTCAATTCAGATTGTCCCACAGAAAATTTGGTTTACTCTGTGCCATCCATTCACAAGGATTGCCTATACTCTGGCCAACACTTAATATAAGCTCCTGCCTTCAGTACTATAATCATATATTAATGAGATCTTTCAGCTTTTTGATATAATACTGTAAGCTCAGATGTAATCTTAGGAAACATAAATGAATGATACTGGAAATGTAATAACAGAGTAATGAATTAAGCAGTTCTTCTCCTTTCTGAATTCAAGATTTAAAAAATATAAAATCTTATGCCAGCTAAATATTTTTGAAAGGTGAAATTCAGAAGTTGGACAATATCCTTTATAGGTGTAACTACCAAGTTTACTATAAGCAGCTAAAGGAATATTTTTAGTAAAATTTTCAGCATGAAAGTGAATGAGTTGGAGTACTGAGACATGAAACATTTCTGTTTTGGCCTTTTAAGCCCTTTGATAACAGAAAATATTTCATGTAGCTTTTAGATATTTATGTTATAAATATAATTTTTTTTAAACAGACACAAGTTTTAAGAAACTTAGTAAAAACTGAGTTTTCTATTCATATGTTATATCTGTTGTTTTTATCCATATGGTTATTCTTATGCTAAGCACCTTAGTAATCCTACAAATTTTTAATGGAGCTTTAGATCTTTCAAATAATAATTTAATTGCCAAACATTGATGGTTCATAATTAAAGATAAATATTAAATCACTTTATCAACCCCCATACACATTTTCTTGATGTAACCATTTCTGCATTCTTTGTAGTATTGATCAACAGAAAGAATGCTGTGAGAAAAATATGCTGAGGATAAACTATAGGGAAGTACAGGAAATTTGTTAGAGGGGAGGTGTGCCTTTTTCACTTATTTGTGTTTTAAATAGGAGACTTAGATCTAAAACATATTTAAGATCTTTATTAGTAAATTTTACTCTGCAAAACTTCTAGGTGGTTAGGTTTTAGGACTTCATTTCTGAAAACCACTATAGTAAACAGTAAGATCCATTCCAGTGTTCCAGTTTTAAGTTCTTAATTTCTTTAAATTACTTGGAGTGTGAAGTGTCTTAGATCATCAAAAACAGTTCTTAAAGAACTTCTAAAGCATTAGCATTCTGTAAAACATGATTAGCATTAAATTAAACTGAACGTAATAGTTTTTTCCTAGTAATTCAGAGATCACTCCAGGCTATTATGATTATTATCATAGGATGCATAGCATAGTTAATAGAAAATTCCAACAAAACCTACTGATAGAATTTGTTTTACATCACTGTTTTAAGAAACAGTTCAGTTAAATGGTCTTTAAATGATTGCCAAAATACGGTTGGTTGGTTTTTTTTTTGGATAAAGAAAACATTTAGAATAAATAGCTTTAAAACTATTTTTAACTTCTGTGATTTTTTTCTTAAAAGTTCTTCTATGGAAACTGAAAGAAAACAAAGACTATAATAAGTGGATATTGATTAAACAAATTACAATGTAATTCTCTTATTCTAGTTTCTTAATTCATTGGATGCTAAAGAAATATATTTGGAAATAATGCATAATCTTCCAGATTTTGAACTACTTTCAGCAAACACACTAGAGGTAATATTTTTCTCAATAATGATAAATAGTAATTAATGTTGGAAACATTACAAGTCTTAACATTTTAAAATCAGCATTTGTTTTATCCGTTGTTAGAAAGTTTCAAAGGACTAGGTATATAGTTGACCTTTAAACAATATGGGGACTTAGGGGCACTAGCGCCCCTGCCCATGTAGTCAAAAATCCACATGTAACTTTTGACTCCCCAAAATCTTTACTACTGATACTCTACTATCAACTGGAGCCTTACCAATAACATGAACCACAAACAGTCAATTAACACGTTTTATATGTTATATGTATTAATATAATGTATTCTTACAATAAAGTGAGCTAGAGAAAAAATATTTTTTCAAATTGTCACATAGCTCCCCAAAATTTTTTTCAATATGTTTACTGGGGAAAAAAATCCCACTGCAGTTAAGTGGAGCCCTGCAGTTCAAACTCATGCTGTTCAAGGGTCAACTGAGTAGTCAGTGAATTATAGGTTACACTATCAATTGCTGGGGTTGTAACTTCAGGGTAGATCTGTAGTTACAGAAAACCTAACCAGTTCTGAATGTGCGCTTCAGGAGGAATGTCAGAAAAGGCAAGATTTTGATCACAAAGCAATTTTGGATCTCATTTGGAACTTATGCTCTTACTTACAGAACTGCTTATATTGTTTACTGAGAATTAAGAAGCTCTTCTTAATTCTTTAGAAACTACTTGATTCTTTAGAAATATTCAGTTTGTAATAGAATCAATTATTTTTTTATACTTACTGATCACAGAGCTTTGTAAGTCTATATCCTTACCAAATGTTTTTGTTAAACCTGAAAAAAGCTGGCTTCTCTACCCTGCATTTTTTTAGCTATATTTTGTTAACACAATATTTTTATCTTGGCACGATTGTCTGCTTTAAGCTTTTATAATTTAATGATTCTTATCCTTCTAGGATATAATATAATTGATTTACTTAGCATTATTCAAGTAAACTACAAAGTAAGTATGAGTTTAGACGATGTTTTGAAGTAATGGGTACAATAGCTAAAATTAACTTTAAGCCAAAGAAACAAACGTTAGAACCCTTAAACTTTCCCAACTCTGACATTTCTTTTTTTTAATCACCTTTAAGGACCGTTTGGCTCATCACCGATGGCTCTTATTTTTTCATTTTGGCAAAAATGAAAATTCAAATGATCCTGAGTTGAAAAAACTGAAGACTCTTCTTAAAAATGAACATATTCAAGTAAGAAAAATATTCTCCCTAGCCTTCTACAAGTTTGCATTCTTATTTACTTAACACATAAATTATATTTTAAAAACATAAAAATGTTTATTTGAAATTCTAGGCTAAGAAAACCATAAGTGCTTTTGTTTTCTGTTGTTTTATTTTATAAATAGATGTGGTTTTTAAAGTGGCTAACTTCCATTTAGTTGGCATGTGATAAATTTGTATCATAATTTTTCTGGAATGTATATGATAGAGGATCTTTCCTTTTTTTAAAATTCTTATTTCTTTAATCATGCTCTTTGTGTAAAATAGAAGATAGAAATAAGCACAAAGATGAATTATAAACTAAAAATTACCATATATTCTCACCACTGTTAATTTTCACTTAGTAAATTCTACTAAGAATTTTCTGTGTAACCTTCAAACTTTTTGTGAGTGTATGTATGTGGCACATACCTATTGTAATGGCCATTGTAATAAACACACACACGTAATTTCATATGAATACTTTTTAATCAAAATGGTTTCATGATACAGTAGTCCTCTTTACCCATGGGGGGATCCATTCCAAGACCCCCAGTGGATACCTGAAACAGTAGATAGAACCAAACCCTATATGTACTGCTTTTCCTATGCATACATACCTATGATAAACTTTATAAGCTAGGCACAGAGATGAACAACAATAACTAATAATGAAATAGAGCAATTATAATGTGCTGTAATAAAAGTTACATGAATGTGCTGTCACTCAAAATATCTTATTGTACTGTACTCCCTCTTCTTCTTGTGATATGACAGACTGCCAACATGATGAGGGGGAGTGACACATGCATTGTGACATAGCATATGTTTTATTGACTTTTCTTACAGTACTTTAAGAGGATATCTGCTTATCTGGACAGTGATTGACCACAAGTAAATGAAACCTCAGAAAGCATAACCAGAGATAAGGAAGGGACTACTGTATTCTCCTACAGAATTTTCCATGCAACAATATCATTAACTTTTTCATGCTAATATATATATTATATATATATATGTATGTATGATCATCCCTAATGATGTATTTCACTATATAGTTAACCAAATTGTTTTATAAATCATCTCTTACAACTTTATGCTGTTACCATTATTTGTTATGTCAAAGGCAAAAATGCAGTATGAGGAATTTTCTTGAGCCAAGGTTGTATATTAAAATATCCTCATTATCAAAGTCCTCCCAAAAGTTTAAATCAGTTTCTATTCTTACAAATAGCATGTGAGTAACCATTTCCCTACACCTATGTCAGCCATGGCATTATCATTCTTTACAACTATGACTATTCCAGTAGGCCAAAAATGACATGTTAATATACTCATTTTATTTGCTTTCTAATGGGGTTGAAAAAGTTTCTTGTGATTACTAATGAGTCATAATTCTATTCTATTTTCTCTGTATGTCTCTGGTCCATTTTCTTTCTCTTGATAGGATGTTATTTTTTATTTCTTACTTCTGCAAATATTTTTTCTGGTTTATCATTTGCCTGTTAGTTTATGCTGTTTTCCTGTACACTGTATGAAAATGTCAGTCTTTTTCTTTATTGTATCTGCCCTGGGGTCTTACTCAAAAAATTACTACCCCCCACACATACCCAAGATTATATGAATGTCCTCTACATTTTTAGAAGTGTACATTTTTTTTTAACGACTTCATATATTCCTGAAAATTTCCTCTCAGGTTTTTTAACTCCAGTGGCTTTTTTTTTAACTAAATTGAAATTCTGTGTTACATGTAAATTAATTATTTTTATCTCTTACTTTCAGTGTCCATTAATTTCTGTTTAAAATTTGTTGTTAAAGATAATTCAGAAATGACATTCCTCTATGACTATTTAAAGATTGAGTGGATAAGATTTTGTTTTCATCAAATTGAACTTTCTCTTCCCACTTAAGGTTGGCAAGTTTGACTGTTCCTCTGCACCAGACATCTGTAGTCATCTCTATGTTTTTCAGCCATGTCTAGCAGTATTTAAAGGACAAGGAATCAAAGAATATGAAATTCATCATGGTAAGAAGAGACAAAATAATAATGTACCTTTTTTTTTAAATAGTAATCTTTTTTTAAATTGTACTTTTGCTTTGTGTGAATATACTATAAATAGCTTTGCTGTCATTTAGTAGTAAATTTGTTTCTTGGGGAGAAAGGTATTTTGAATTATATATAGTTATTTTCTCAACTCACCCTTTTAAAAACTTTTCCTACTCAATATTTTTATCAGTATTTCAGCAAGAACATTAGTATCATGTTAATCAGGTCAGTGCAGAATTTAGGGATCTTGCCTGTTGGCAGCAGTAAGCAACCTTCCATTCCAGTGTGCTAAACATCACATTTCAGCCACTAGGGGCAATTGTCAGACATACTTCTGGATTTTTTCTTTCATTAGACTACCGAACATCTCCATAACTCTTTACCTGTCCTGAATTTATAATTATATTTTTGCATTTGAGCTTCTTTGGGACTTTAGCTCTGTGTTCATGTAAGTACAGTTACAATTTCTAGGATTTGGGATACATTACAGTGCCTATCCTGAAAAAAGTCAAGTATAGCAAAAGAAGCACACAAACTACTAACTTTAGTACAAGTGAATAACATATATTGATATAATGCCTGTTATGTGACAAGCACTGTCTTAGGTGTTAGGAATGCAAAGTTGTAAGACATGGACTCTGCTCTCAGGAAGTTTCAAGTATCATCTAGTAGGGGAGACAGAAGGGAGAGCTATAAGAAAATAGTGGAAAACACTAATGGCCATTATGTATAAATCACAAGATCAAATTAAGAGACTTCTGCATAGGATAGGTCAGGAGGTGATAATTTGAATTGAGCATTGAATGTCCAATTTACCAAAGCAAATACAGAAAAACAAGTGAGGCCCTCTAGGCTGAAGGAACTATGTGAGCAAAGGCTTGGCAAGATAAACCTAACAGTAATTCCTGGTTTTTTTATTTAGTACTTTCTATAAGTTAGGCACTTTTCTAAAGGCTTTGCCTACTTTTGCATTTCCATTTTTATCTTCATAAAAGCCCAGCAAAAGATAAAACAGATTCAGAAAGGGTAATAAACTTGCCCAAACAACCAGTAACCAGTCAAGGTATAAAATGTGTATTCTACTGGTTTGGAATGGAATGTTCTCTATATACTAAGTCCATCTAGTCTAATTGTTGTCTAAGGTCACTGTTTCCTAATTGATTTTCTGTCTAGATGATCTATCCATTGATGTAAGTGGGCTGTTAACAGTTTCCTACTGTTACTGTATTTCTGTCAGTTTTTCCCTTTGCATCTGTTAATGCTTGCTTTATATATTCAGGTTCTCCTGTGTTGGGTGCATAGATACTTATAATTATTTCCTCTTGGTAGATTGACCTTTTATCATTTTATAATGCCTTTCATCTCTAGTTACAGTCTTTGTTTTAAAATCTATTTTGTAGGTATTGCTACCCCAGCTTTCTTTTAGTTTGCATTTGTGTGGATTATCTTTCCCCATCCTTTCTCTTTCAGTCTGTGTGTCTTTAGATCTAAAGTGAGTCTCTTGTAGGCAGCATAGAGATGGGTCTCCTTTTTCCCCCATTCAGCTCCTCTGTGTCTTTTTGATTAGAGTGTTCAGTCCATTTTCATTTAGGTAGGCATGTACTTACTGGCATTTTGTCAGTTGCTTTTTCGTTGTTTTCCTAGTTCTTTTTTGTTCCTTTCCTCCTTCCCTATTCACTTCCCTTGTGATTTAATGACATCTTTTAGTAGTAGTAGCTTTGGGTTCGTCTTTATTTTTTGAGTATTATTGGTTTTTGGGTTGTGGTTACTAAGAGGTTCATATATAAAATCAGCTGTGTACATAGGTTTTTAAGTTGATAGTCGCCTAAGTTCAAACGTATTCTAAAAGCACTACACTTTCACTCCCCTCCAACATTTTATGTTTTTAACAGCACATTTTATATTTTCTGTATCCCTTAACTATTGCAGATATAGTTGATGACTGCTTTTGTCTTTTCACCATGATACTAGCTTTAGAAGTGACTGATCCTACTACCTTTACTATGTGTTTTCTTTAACCAGTGAGATTTTTTTCTTTCATAATTTTCTAGTGATCGCTTTTTCTTTTCCACTTAAATTCCTTTAATATTTCTTGTAAGATCAGTTTACTGGTGATCAACTGCTTTAACTTTTGTCTATCTAGGGAATTCTCTATCTCCTTCAGTTCTGAATGGTAATCTTGCTAAGCAGAGAGAGTATTCTTGGTTGTAGGAATTTTTTTCCTTTCAGCACTTTGAATATATCATGCTACTCCCTTCTGGCCTGCAATGCGTTCACCTGAAAATCAGCTGATATTCTTATGGGGGTTCTCTTGTATGTAACTGCTTTTCTCTTGCTGCTTTAAGATTCTTTCTTCATCTTTAATATTTTTTACATTTTAATTATAATGTATCTTGGTGTGGACTTCTTTGGGTTTGTCTTGTTTGGGGCTCTCTGTGCTTCCTGGACCTAGATGTCTGTCTCCTTCCCCAGGTTAGGGAAGGTTTTGTCTGTTATTTCTTATCAATAAGTTTTCTTCCCCTTTCTACCTATTTTCTCCTTCTGGGACCCCTATAATTCAAGCATTAGCACAGTGTTCTTCCAGAGGTTCCTTAAACTATGCTGTTTTTGCTTTTTCTTTTTCCTTTTTGCTCGGGTGATTTCCATTACCCTGTCTTCCAGATCACTGATCCCCTCTACTGCACATCTGATCTGTTGTTGATTCCTTCTAGGGTATTTTTCCTTTCAGTTATTGTATTCTTCAGCTCTAATTGGTTCTCTTTTGCATTTTCTCTGTTGAGGTTTTCACTGTGTTCATCCATTCTTCTGAATTCAGTAAGCATCTTTATGACCATTACTTTGAACTATTCATCTCTGTTTAGTTCTATTTCTCACTTGTCTTGTTCTTTGATTTGGAACATATTTCTCTGCTCATTTTGCCTGATTCTCTGTTGTTTCTATGTATTAAATAGATCAGATACATCTCCCACTCTTAAAGGAGTGGCTTTATGTAGAAGGTGTCCTGTGGGGCTCTGAAATGCAGTGTCCTAGTCAGCAGAACCAGGCGCTCCAGGGGAATCCCTTGTGTGTGTTGCATTTGCTTTTCTGTCATGCTGGGCTGCAACTGCTTGCAGGCCTGCTGTTGGGCATAAATGGCTCCCAGTCCAGCTGGCCGAGAGGTAAGGCTACTGTGGGCTCACTAACGGGTTTCACTAGCCTCTAGTATAGCTGGCTGTAAGTCCTGCACATAACTGTCATGTGCTGGTGTGTCGGGCTGCTCGCCTGCCAGGAGCAGTTTTGTGGGGGACACCAGTCCTTGCCAAGGACACTCCATCTTCTAACTTCCTTCAGAGTGAACTTCAGGTTCCATAGTATAGTAGCAGTGACTTTGTCTGGGTTTGTTTGCTACTCTTATCTCCAGCACCTAGAAGGATGCCTGGTGCACATAGCAGGAACTCAGTAAGTAGTTCTTAAATTAATAGGGCACATTCACAGTCTGATTCTGCTTGTTTTCAGCCTCTTCTCCCAACTCTGCCCCTCCAAATTATCTTAGCTCCATCTACTTGTAAATCCTTGAAAACAGCATGTTCTTTCACTTCTCTGCCTTCACACAAGATTTTCTTCCTCTTGCATTGCAGTCATTACTTTCTGTCCCTAAAAATATTTAGCAAATGTCAAATTGCTCTTCAGTGTTTACCTTAAAGCATTATGCATATACCATGAATTTCCCAGTACTTCCTTTTATATGCTATCACTAAATTCATAGCATAACTTGTGTTGTTTCTTTGGCCTCTACATGTGCAGATACAGTACTAGGGAATAGGAGAATTTGGTGAATTGTTTTTAATCTCTGCCTTAACATTATGGACTAGTAGAGAAAACAAAGAAGTAAATGGGCAAATTTTAAAATGTCTAACGTGAGGCATATTATCTATTTTTGAGTAGTAAATTAATTGCCCTAAAACTTAGCAGCTTAAATCAACAAACATTTATTAACTCACACAGTTTCTGGTGTTTAGGAATCTGAGAACAGCTTAGCTAATGGTTCTGACTTGGGTTTTCTCATAAGGTTGCAGTTACGGTAGCCTAAGACATAAGGTCACCTGAAGGGTAGCCTGTAGCTGCAGGATTTGGTCCAGGCTGATTCATGGACTAGTCTGCAGGCCTTAGTTTCTTGCTGACTGTTGGTCAGAAGCCTCAACTCCTCAGCACATGGACCTCTCTATACAGCTGCTATAACATGGCAACTGGCTTTTCTCAAAGTGAATGATTAGACACAGACACATGCATGCACAAAAACAAAATGTCTTCTATATAATGACACAAAACAAGCATCACAGCCACCATATTCTGTGGGTCACATATACACAGCCCTGGTACAGCAGTGGTGTAAGTACATGAAGTAGGGATCATTAAGGAGACTTGGAGACTGACAATCACAAGAAATAAGCAAGGGTTACACTTAGGAATAACACTTAGAAGGAACAGTCTTCTGAGGTTAGATCAAGGAATCTTTTTGTTGAGATCTACAATGTAGGTAATGGTTACCCAAAAGAAGAGGTAGCAAACACATGCCAAGCACAGGAAACAGCAAATGTATTCATGAACTTTGAGATTAAGCATCATTCATTTTAGAAAGAAAGAATTTCAGAATAGCTGGAATGCTGAGTGTTGGAAAGGAATGAGACTTGAAGCTACAGAGGTCACCAGGGGTCCAAATTAAGTGTTTCATCTGTCAGGTAAAGGAATTTGAACTTTATCCTGAAGACATTCATCCATTTAAGCAGTGATAGGACTTAACTAGTTTTACTGTTAGAGAGGTGACTGGCTGCCAAGAATGGGTGGAAGCAAGGTTGGAGGAAGGGAGTGCCTCATGCAGTCATTTAAGTAAGATAATATGGCTGCCTTATCGTGATATGAGTGAAAAGAAGTTATGAGTGAAAAGAAGTGAACAGATTTTTTAAATATGAAGAATATAAAATCAAACCTGATGATTTGTTTCCTATGGGGGAATAGCAGAAGGAAGCTCAAGTTTCTGACTTGGTGAACTAGCAAGTGAATGACTGTACCATTCAGTGAGGATGAGAACACTTAGGGGAGGAGCTGATACAGAATACACACCCCAGTTCACAACCAGATGTAGGCCTGGGTCTCAGGAGAGGAGTTTGGGCTGAAAATTTAGATATAAATAACCATATTATGGTAATGAAAGCCTTGGCAAGGATGAATATGTCTGAGAGTAAAGAGAAGGACAAGAACAGGACCCTAAAGATTACTCTTCGGGGATGGTGAAAGCTAAAGGAATACGTGAAGTAATTCATGCAACAGCAGCTAAAGAGTAAGAAAAAAGCAGGAGAATGTGGTATCATTTATCACTATACTTACATATTTGTGAAAATGTTTCTCTCTTCTACTGGACTGTGAGTTCTTTAAAGAGGATGGTATCTTTTTTCATTTTTGCCTGCCCTATGGCATTTAAAACAGGCTGACTCATAATAGGTGCTTGACTTAATACTGACTCTTGAGTGAATATGTCAAAGGGCACATGGAAAAATGGACTGTTTGCCAAACCAAGTATATTCTTTAGGCAATGGCAAATCACCAGAGGCCTTTCCTTAAACAAGGGTACAACTTGGACAGATTAATGTTTTTGTAAAATTACTATGGTAGCAACATACAAAATGGATTAGTTCAGGAAGATGGGGCAAAAAGATCTGGTTAGTTATTGTAACAGACTGAATTTAGGGTTTGGAGGTGGTAAGAGAGAGCATGAGTGGAGTTACAGTACAAGGACAAAGAAAGAAGGCAAGAATCCCTCTGAGAAATCATATTTAGGCACCTAGTAGATAATTATGGCATTGGCAAGAAATAAGGACAAAGAAAGAAGGCAAGAATCCCTCTGAGAAATCATATTTAGGCACCTAGTAGATAATTATGGCATTGGCAAGAAAGGAAAGGTGAGAAAAGGAGCGAGTTTGGAAAATAGCTTTGATTTGCAGCTATTACGGTCATCCAGGAAACGAGTGAAGGAGTGGGTCCTCCTGGCAGGGCAAACCTATGCATATGTAGTATACAGAACACAAAATCCTCACCAAAATCAAGATGTTCAATAAGTTTATCTTCCTTTCTTTAATATTTTAAGTATAGAAGCTTTGAGATGTTTATATTCAATTTCAAAGGAAAGAAGATTCTATATGATATACTCGCCTTTGCCAAAGAAAGTGTTAATTCTCATGTTACCACACTTGGACCTCAGAATTTTCCTGCTGATGACAAAGAACCATGGCTTGTTGATTTTTTTGCCCCTGTAAGTAATTTTCAACTGTAAAATTTCAATATTGTTAGATTTTATCATAGAAAACATTTTCTAATTAATCTTGAACCATGAGTACTAAGAATTGTGTTACTCAGTTTTGATCACTAACACATATTGCATCTAAGCATGTGCCAGTGTACATTTCTCTTTCTTAGCATATTGCTTGTTGCAAAAATAACATGTTTTTTTATTTCATTTGGCTCAGTGCTTACAGATATTTTTTCTTTCATAGTGGTGTCCACCATGTCGAGCTTTATTGCCAGAGCTGCGAAAAGCATCAAAGCATCTTTATGGTCAGCTCAAGTTTGGTACACTAGATTGCACAGTTCATGAGGGACTATGTAACATGGTAAGGCATCGTATATAAAAAACATACTCTAATATTTTTGTAAAATAAAGGCCTTTGGCAGTCTAAATTATTAATAAGATAGCTTTTTCAAATGTATATGTACATTTAGACTATTAAACAAATTCAACAAAATGATACAAAGCTATGATTGGATTAAAACATTAATAGATTATATGTGTAGATTGGTTTTATCTAACTCAGGAAAATATTTAATTGACTTGATAAGGTATCTACATAATTTTTCAATTATTTAGCGTCTGTTTTTTTTTTTTTTACTTAATAGTATTTTTTGGTAGTTTATCGTTTTTTCTCTTTGTCTTTCCTCATGATTATCTTTAAAGTATAGTTAATATTTTCTTATTAAAATTCACTCTCAGTTCCAAGAAAAAGTTAGAAATCATACCTCATGATGAAAGTATATAATACCACTTCTAAAATATTCCTGGAAAAAGCAAATCAAACCTAAATCGAACAAGCCTCCAAATCTCTCAGTGTATAGGAAATACAGTGACAGGAGCATGTTAAGTGACACCATGGGGCATGCAATCTGCAAATCCCAGCACAAAAAATTTTACAGGACCAACACCCAGTTTATTGTATTGAAAGAGGAGAAAAGGAGATTAAAGAAACTTAAAACACATATTCAAATGCAATGTTTAGGTTTTCTTTGGATGCAGTTCAAACAAACAAGGTGCACAAAAATGAGAGAGGGGTAATGGGAAATTTGAATACTGATAGGATATCTGGTGATATTCAGGAGTTATGGTTCATTTTTAGGTGTGAAGAGGATAGTGTGGTTATATTTGTGGGAAAGTCCTTATGTTTTAAATATACTGAAATACTTACGGATGAAGTGATAAATTATCTGCAATTTGCTTTAAGCTTGGGGTAGGAGTAGAATGGGAAGGGAGTATAGATGAAAGAGTAGCCATGAGCAGATGATGGGTGACTCTATAAGAGTACATGAGATGTCATTACTCTGCTTTTGTGTGTATGTTTTAAATTTCATAAAAACTAAAACTTTTTAAAAGATAAATGTAGAAGAAAGGAAGGGAAAAATAAGTGGAAAAAAAGCAAGCATTATGTTTCTAAAACATGATAGAAGTAAAGTAGGGTACAATCTTTATGGCATCTGTGTGAACAATAATTTCTCACTGCACACATACACACACACAATAAAAACTAATGAATATGAATGAATTTGACTACATTAAATGTTACAACTATTGCCAAAGAGAGATACTATAAAGGCAAACAACAGACTGAGGGAGGAAATATTTGCAGTGTGTATAATTGACAAAATTTTAATGTCCAGAATACAAATCAATTTTTTTAAGTAGAAAAATTAGAAAGTTTACACACATTTCATGAAAGAGGGCATCCAGTAAATATGAAAAGTGTTCAACTTCACTAGAAAGTACAGATTACAACAATAGTCATACCCTCCCTGTCCATCAAATTAACAAAAATTTAGAAATCTGACAATAACAAGTATATGGATACATAAATAATCCAGTCATACAGTGGAGTACCATAAAGCATTTAATATTCTTGGGAAAATACTATATCTATCTATGCCAGCATGGAAAATTTCAAAAATACCATGTCATGTGAAAAAAGCAGGTTGTAGAATAGTTTATAGAATAAAATAAAATTGCATCAAGTTTTTAAATGCCCAAACATTACAATATACTGCTTATGGATCCTGTGTACATAGCAAAAGTATAAAAACATCCATCAATTGGATACACACTTATTTCACAGAACTGGTTGCTCCTAGTGTCAGGGAAGGAAGGAGATGGGATCAGGACCTTCCAACAATCTGCCAGTGTGGCAAAAAAAAGTTGATCTTCCTTAAATATAGGGGAGGTACAAGTGGATATTTGCTAAGATTATTTTCTCACCTTTTCATTATGTTTGAAATTTCATTAAAATCAGTTTAAAAATGGAATAAATAAGGCCTTTGGTTTTGAATGTATGCTTTGAAAAGATGCTAAGCAAAGATACAAAATTAATGTGATAAATAATAATTATCTTAATTAAAATCCTTTAGTTTTTCTGCTTTTTATCTCAACTGTTAAATATTCCATAAATAATTGAAAAAGTAAGGATTTAAACTGTAGTAACATACAACTCAACTTGGGGGAGAGGTCAGTTTTCACTACTCACTAGTTGGGGGACCTTGACCTAGTCACTTAACCTTTCAGTGCCTCAGTTTCCTCATCCGTAAAGTTGACTCAGTAATTTTAGCCTCTTGAATAGAATTGTGAGGAATAGATTAGGAACTACAAGTTCAAGTGCTAAAAAGGTGCTTGACACATTCTAAGCACTTGTGAACCGTGAAGTAAGTTAATTGAATTTGCACTCATTTTACAAAAGTTTGGAAAAATGTACCCTTTTTTTTTTTTGAATGCTAGTTAAAGATTCCAACTTGCTAAATGACTGCTTGTCAACTTTAAGGATGCAAAACTCAGCTGCCACAAATAAACAGATCTCCTGACAACTTTTTTAAAAATTAAAATTAAAACTTTAAATGCTTCCTGGGCTACTGTTCATGTTAATTCTCAGGAGGCAGTTATAGTTTATTTCATACCATAAAAACTATCTTGCATAAAGAGTAAAATTGACCACATTCTTTGAGCATGATTCCTAATTCTAAAACATGGTTGTGTATACATTTAATTATTAGTTTATTTCTTCATTCTTGTTACTTTATTTCCTCCATTTTTGTATACTTTAGACAATATGAAGTATTTATTATGGCTTCAAAGAAGACTTAAGCTCTAGTCTGCTCTTACAGTGTTACTCGTCTTGGGCTCTTACAGTGTTACTAATCTTGGTTCAGGAGAGAAAAAAGGGACCTAACTCAAGACTACCCAAGCTCACCTCTCAGTGTCTCGATGCCTATGGATTTTATGGCTAATGAGTAGCTATAAATAAGGGTCAGGTGTTCATCAATACAGCTATGAATTCATTTTCTTCGCTAAATTTGGCCAGGCTAAAATTTTTCAGTCATCAGCAATTTAACAATGGGTTTTTTAAATGTTGTTGTTGTTATATAAATAAAGGCAAATGGGTTATAAATTTGAAACAAATAGGTAAAATATATAATTTGTATTCTTACTCCTAACAGTATAATATTCAAGCTTATCCAACAACAGTGGTATTCAACCAGTCCAACATTCATGAATATGAAGGACATCACTCTGCTGAACAGATCTTGGAGTTCATAGAGGTATTTTAAATTAATTTAACCTATAGTATTATAAATTATAGAGGAATTCATTTTAAATGTATGACTATAATCCTTCTGAGTCTGTATATTTTGTATAATGTATAATACTTTGAGTACTGTTAAATAACAGTATTTATTTTCATGCCAAAACATTTCCTGATAAAATTAATTTTCTAGATTTTTATGATGTTTTACTCTTATTTTATACTTACTATAAACTCTGAGAATATAAGTCTTATGTTTTGTATGTTACCTAGTATGGTGCCTTATACTTAGTGGACACAACTATTTGTTGAATACATATATGAAATTATACTTTTACATAAAGCCTTGTCACCCCCAACCCTATTTTTTCTAGAACCCCCACAGATTGTTTCTTTTAGGTCCTACATAAATGAGATAGGAGTAAACCCAATATTATCCAGGAAACATGTGGGTAGAGTAGTCTTGCCCCACATTCCCAGAGGAGGACCTGTCAAAGCCTGGGCACCTCATGCTAAGCCCGTGTTATTAGCACAGGAGTTCCCTACATCTGAAGCATCTCCTCCTTTTTTTTCTCACTAATTGGCTTGATTGACTAAAATAATTACAGGTGCCTCCTAAGAAAGACATGAAAAACTACCTCGGTATCCATATTGGGACCATTCTGTTCTGTCCTACTCATCCTCCAGAGTAATAGTTTTTGGTTTTGTGTGACTTTGATGATTTCCCCCGTGAAGCTAACATTGTCGTTGGTATTATTCCAAACATGGTATGCTACAGCTTTGTCATAACAGCATTTGGAACAAGAATCTATAGAGAGATTGTGCAGTATCTACCTCCAGTCAGAATGTCAGAGAAATTAAAAAGTAGGTTGTCCGTTAATCATTAAAGGGTCATTTGCAAACCAACAGTTGGTTCTAACACAGAACTGTGAGGCCTATGTAGATGCCTGGGCAGCTCTTGGAACTCTTGTCTCATCTGCCTAGAACCCTAAGTAAAGTTACTTCCCTTCCCTACCTAAGGTGATTTTAGTGATACATAGAAAAGAGACAATATACATTAATTTAAGACTGATGGGCAAAATCCAAACTTAAAAAATAAATTAAGGATCATTTCTTCCTTTTTAAAATAATTCACTATGAATTCTCTTCAGAATATCCTTAAGTATATTTTGATTTTTGGGAAACAAACTTTTCTAAATGACATATGCCAATAATTTGCCAAGTATATATGAACAATCCTTTTTTATATCTGTTATAATGAAAACTGTATTCTCTTTAGGACCTTATGAATCCTTCAGTGATCTCCCTGACACCCACCACTTTCAGTGAGCTAGTTAAACAAAGAAAACATGATGAAGTCTGGATGGTTGATTTCTATTCTCCATGGTGTCATCCGTGTCAAGTCTTAATGCCAGAATGGAAACGAATGGCCCGGGTATAATAAAATAGTTTACTTTAAATATTAACATTTAACTAAACATGCTTGTTTAACAGAATAATTTTGAAACTAAGATGAATGAACCCACCTGTAGATTATCACTTAATAACAGTTCTGGTCATACCACGTTGATTTCAAGCTTTTCCTGTCTGGTATGTGAATGGTAGAGAATAATCAACCCTTTTTTTCTGTCATTTATTTGGTACATATTTGACCAAATTTCTGCCATCAACCCAAAGATCCCCTTTATTTTCTATTAAAACTTTTAATACTCCTTTATTTTTAGAGCTTAAAGATAACATTTCTTCACAATATTGTAGAACTTTAGAGTAAGAAAAAATAGCCTTGGTCATTAAAACATTTGGATTTTTTTAATTTCCTACATACAGACTATTATAAATTGTAAAAGACTGGAAACAAATTACTTAAATGCCAGAATGGAAAATGCAATTACTGGTTTATATTCCAACATAAAAAATGAACAAACCTAAGAGTTAAAGTGACTTTTAGTATCTTAACATTTAAGATAATACAATTTTGTGCTCTTTGCAATAAAACTTTGAAATTCAGGTGTGAGTTAATATGCTACCTGCAACCATGTCTCCATTTGAAAAAATAATTCTTTAAAATACAATTGGGAAGACCTTCATTCATTCGTGGTTTCTAACACTCTGAAATTTAGAAATACATAATTTTTCCCCATTTAATAGGTGAAGGTGAATGAAATTGTTTAAGTCAGCAATAATTGTAGAACGTTCTGTACAAAAATTAGATTTCCAGTTCATTACTATAAATGTTCTATTATGTTTTAAGTCCTTACCCATTTTTATTTTGGTGAAAATCACTGATAAATGATGTACCATTTCAGTTTTGATTTCTCCATCATAAACATATATAAAGTAGTTATGGAGGTAATTTTATTTTAATCACTTTGCTCTACTAATCCCTTTTTTTTTCTTTTTAGACATTAACTGGACTGATCAATGTGGGCAGTATAGACTGCCAACAGTATCATTCTTTTTGTGCCCAAGAAAATGTTCGGAAATACCCTGAGATAAGATTTTTTCCCCAAAACTCAAATAAAGCTTATCAGTATCAGTAAGTGTTGCCTAAGATTTTAAGGCATTTATTATAATCACTTATTTATACAGTTAAAATTTTAAAGTTATCCTAACTAAATAAAAGTTAAGCCAAACAAATATTTTAGGGGAGCCTACCATGTTAAGATAATGTATTAAGGAGAACTTGAGAAGATGAAAAGAAAATCGAACAGTCCCACTGCTCATGAAGCTGACAGTCTAGTAAAGGAAATAGGGAGAGGAAGAATCGACACTTAAGTCCCACTCGGTGTCAGATCCTTTGCTCATATTATTTCCACTAGTCTCAGAGCCTGAGAAGTAAGAATTTTTCCCTTCTTACTATTATAGATAAGTAGACTGATTCACAGACCTTGATAACTTTCCCAGGTCACACGGATGCTATGGCTTGAACGTGGGGTTTGACCCAGGCCTGTCTCAGTGCCCATCCTATTTCCACAGCAGCACATGGTACTTCATGTAGAAGACTCGTGCAAAGCAGAATATAATACTTTTTAAAAAGTAAAAATAAAACATGGATTTCAAAAGAGGAAGAGGTAAAAACTCAGAGGAAATCACAAAAGGCTGTATTTATAGAGTGGCTTTTGACATAGGTCTTAAAATGTGGGTAGGAATTTGACAGTAATAACTGAAGTAAAGGTTCAGAAGCCAAAGCCTCAGACATTTTGAGTTTTGCCATCCCCATGGGTCTAGGACATTACCAGTAGGCAGCTAAACATTCAGTCCTATCTGGAGCACAAACAGACCTCAAGACTAGAGAAAAATATATTTGGGAAGCCATGTAAGCCATATTTGTAGCTAGGTATCACTGAGAACACAGATGCTGGATAAAGTTAATCAACTAAACTTTTCTTTTAAATTGCTACAATTAAATTGTCTTCTGAACATAGCCAATAATAGTACTATTAACAACTTACTTATTTTTTCTTCCAGTAGTTACAATGGTTGGAATAGGGATGCTTATTCCCTAAGAATCTGGGGTTTAGGGTGAGTAATTCAAATCTGTATCACTGTATAAGATAGACTCCTTGCTAGGTACCCTTTTCTCATGTATGTAGTTATATTTACTATGAGTTAAGCTTCTAGCATTTAATGTACTCAGTAAAGAATTATAATTTATCAAGATAAGATGTGCTTTATTATGTTGTCACTTTTTGAAGTCATTTTTAACTTAGAAAGCTTTGCAATGTTATGTTTTAAATGTTTGCTTTGGTTTTGTGTAATGAAAAATAATTTTGATCCCTTACCACAGATTTTTGCCTCAAGCATCCATAGACCTAACACCTCAGACTTACAGTGAAAAAGTTTTTCAAGGAAAAAATCATTGGGTCATTGATTTTTATGCTCCTTGGTGTGGACCTTGCCAAAATTTTGCTCCAGAGTTTGAGCTCTTGGCCAGGGTGAGTCCTGTATACTTGAATAAGTTGTTGTTGCATGCATGTTTTTACAATTAGATAAAGCATTTTAAATATAATTTTTTTCTTTAAAGTTTGTGAATTTTTTAAAAACTCTGTTCCATATCTATGACTATAATCTCCGCGTATCTTTCTTGATGAAAGCTTTTAGCTAGCATCACTCTCTTGGTTGAGGACATCATCTACCTAACCATAATAGCCAGAAACCTCACTTCTGCAGCTCATTCCCTCTTTCTTCCCCCCCATCCACCATTATTCTGCTGCCCTCCAGACAATCACTACATCCTGTCAGTTCTATCTAAATGCCTTTCCTATCTGTCACCTCCTATCCATCTCCTCCGTTAGCCTCTTTGTTCAAGCCTTCATCATCTCTCACCTCGACTTCTCACACATGCCTTTTAAGTAGTCTCATATTGCCAGTCTGCCTTCTTCAGGTCTGCCTGATGAGCTTTCTAAAATGTTTACCTTCTCAGGCTTCCTGTTAACTTGTTTCTTGACTTGCATCCTTGACTAAGGTCTGTGATCTGACCCTTCCTACCTCTTCAGCTTTATCTCTGTCCCCCATTCCACACCTTACACTCCAGATACAACAAAGTATTCCAAATTGATGAACAAGTACCCCTATGTACATGCTGTTCTCTCTCTAAAATACTAACCTTTCCCTTGCCTTGATCATCTGGATCTTTTCTCCCTACCTACAGAACCCTGCTCCAGTGGCACTTCTGTGTTCTCTGCACTTCTCAATTAATCAGTGTCATCTTAATTATCTTAAGCTACACCACCACACTTAGGTAATGCATGTTAATTTTTTACCTGTTAGATAATCTGTCATCCATAAGACTATGAGCTTCTTGAGGGTGAGGTACATGTCTTGTCTATCTTGATACCTACCATATCTAACTCAGTAAATACTTTTAAAATTAAACTGAATACATAAACTGAATGCAATCTAAGTTTCTGTTGTTTCTGTCATAACAGCCCTATTAGTGACCTGATTGGATTGTCAGCTTCCTTGCCTGTATAATCCAAAAACGTTGCCATGGGTTGCAAAACATTCATTAGAATGAGAAAGCCCCAGTTCTATCAGTCTGAAACAAAAGCTGAATAATCCAAGTCATGACAATTTTTTAGCAAAGGTATTTCAAAGGTTTTGCAAGTCATAAAAGATTATTTTAGCTATTGACTTGTCCTTCAAATAAGAGGTTATTCATCTTTTTCCCAATTATTGTGTCTTTTTCTCTTACACATTCTTTTTTTCCAATAATTCTGTTTTACTCTCTCATCCCTCATGTACTAAAAATATATTTTGTAAGGCAGCTATATCATGAATACAGCAGAAAATTAGTAAACCTGAAAAAGATCATTCAAATCCTAAGTGCCTGGTGAAAAACATTATGCTAAATACTGGAGCTACAAAAATACAAAGATAAAAGTTCCATATCTTTAAGAAGATATTCTAGTGGGAAGATAAACTGCAAATAAATGTATATAATACAACAGGATCGTTGCTGTAGTTAAATTAGAGTGAAGCAAAAACATGCAAAGAAGAATGTCAGTCATGCCAGGAGACAAGGCTTCACAGAAAACTTCATTATTTGAGATGAGAATTACAATGTGACTAGGAGTTTGGCACAACTGGATTGGCTAGAGACTACTCTAAGCAGAGAAAGCAATTATTTGTGGAGATGCAGGGACACAAGAAAGTGGGTCATGTTCAGGGATCTCCACTGTTGGTCCAGTATTACCAGAATATAAGACCAAGGAGAATTGCAAAAACTAGATTAAGAAGTAGGAGATTTGGTCTCCTTCCTCACACTGTTGACATTGTGTGCTCTTGCTCAGTGATTTCATATTGTTCAGAATGTGTTCTGTATATAAGCATTAGAGGAGAACTGTCGGTATGGCAGGATCCATTTCACATTTTAGAAAAGTCACATTGAATGGATTGAATACTAGCCAAGAAGGTCAGAGAAAGTAATTTAGAGCACCAAAAACAATGTGGTGTCCTCCTAAAGTAATTGTGAATCCGAAGTTAACTAATACGTAAAATAAACTTTAGAAATGACATAAAGCTTAATTTAAAGTAACATTCTAGATTTCTCTGACCTCCACGTGAGTGTGTTCATATGTGTGCATATGTGCTTCTGCAGCACCTTTGCTCGTGCCCTAACACGACTCAGTCTACCTAGTGCCTTCCCCAGCTTGAGGACAAAACTAGAGGCAGCAAAGTTATTTTAATTGTCCTGAAGTGAGAGATTATAACCTGAACCATGATTAGGGCGGTGGTGATAAAAAGAATGGGACAAAAGAAGATTAGGATTTAGTGTTCAGTTGATTGTGATAAATGTGGGAGAGAAGTCTGGAATGACCGTAGTTACTGGCTTGAACTGGGTAAATAGTAGAATAGGGAATAGAAGGAAGAGTAGGTTAAGGGGAAAGGATTCATTTTAGAATGTTGTATTTAAGGTGCTTATTTAGCTAAAGAGCCAGTATATGTGAAAATGAGGGGAGAGGTTGGGCTTAGTAGCATACAGGTATTTGGGGAGATTGTTCACAGTGAAAAGACTGCTGACCAGAGACAGAAGTGTGATTGGATATTACAGTGTGAGGGGCAGGTGTAGGAGTTCCCATGCCGGAAGGGAGGAGGTACTGCCAGAGGGGCAGGAAGGCCAACAGTGAATAGTGATAAAGGCCAAGAGAGAAAAGAAAGGAGTGGTCAGCAAGGTGAGGTGTCCATTCATTTGATCCATATACAGGTCATTGATGAACTTACAGCAGTTTCAGTGGAGGGACAGTAAGAACAGAAGCTAGAGTAAAAGCTGCGGAAAAGTAAGTAGATGGTGTGGGAGAAGTGAGAGAGTAACTGCTCAAAGAGAGAAGCAGGCTGATAGTGGAAACAGGGAGTTAACTAAGGATCCTTTCTTCATCACAAGAATATATGCTGAAGAGTACAAGTAAGAGATCTGACAGGGAGGCACTGGAGGCTGTGGGTGGAGTAGACAGCCTTCCACAGGCAAGGAGCCTCGGCCCAGGGCACCAGAGAAGGGAGGAAGGGCAAAGACAGGATCTGAGATGTTTGTGGTGTGACACACAGGGTGTGGGTGCCAGCAGGTGGCTCAGGGTAAAGGAGAATCTATTTGCTATTGGGGAGGTGATGTTGGGTAAATAGAGCCAGTAAGAATTTCCTGTTTGAATGGAAAATGGAAAGGATTAAAACTAATTTTTTAAAATAACAAATCCGTAAGTTTATAAAACTTTGAAATTATTAGTATCATACCGCTTTGTGGTCGCCAAAATAGTCTATGACAAACAGAATAGCAAACCATATTTTTCTCTTTTCAGATGATTAAAGGAAAAGTGAAAGCTGGCAAAGTAGACTGTCAGGCTCATGCTCAGACTTGCCAGAAGGCTGGTATCAGAGCCTATCCAACTGTTAAATTTTATCCCTATGAAAGAGCAAAGGTATGTACAGGGCGTCCTCTGTGGTTCCTTCCTTTAGCAGCCTAAGCTCAGAAAATGTGTTTTTAGACTGAGTAATGCTTTTTTCTATTTTTTTCTCCCTTTGTCATTGTTTATTTTATTGCTTATTACTGAAGCTATCTGTTTCCGTATACACCAAGTGCTTGTAAAAGATTTTTCTTTTTCACAATTTTGATCTCCATTGCCTTAAAATTGTTATACTCATGAATAGGAAAACTATTAAGGAAACATAACAAAATATTAATAATTGTGGTAGGATTCAAAATAAATATTTCCTGTGAAGTTTTACATTTCCTGCTTTAGAATTTTTGTTATTTTTTCCAGGAAAAGAAGAAAAATTGAGATAATACTATCATACCACCTGTATAAGAGCCTTAATACCAGAGCTTTTATCTTGAGGAATATTTATTAGTGATTTACACGACAATATGAAGGATTTTGTACACTACAGAATTAAGATTCTGTGGTTCAGTCGTAACTCCTTTGTTTGGGCCACTGACAATATGCTTTTCTTTCCAACAGGAAAACTAGACATCTACCAGTGAGTCTTAAAATTCAGGTGATAACCTCTCTGATCATTAATAAGAAAGCATGTGTCTTTTAGCCAGTATAATTGCTAATTGAAAGAGCTCGACCTTTTTTGCTGTCTTCCCAACTAAAAGAATGACATTTTTGACAATAGGACTGTAATATAATAAATATTTGCTATGTGTTCTTCTTTTCTGTTAAAACATTTGAAATAAGTAATTTCAAATGTTTTAATACTTTTTGAAAAAGCATCAGATTAAGATCTCATTTATTAGCAATTATAAAACATTTTGAAATAGTGCTAAGTACAGGCAGAGAATGACAAATACCATGTGATTTCACTTATTTGTGAAATATAAAAACAAAACAAAACAAAAGGAACAAAACAGCATTAGACTCATAGACACTGAGAAATGACTAGTGGTGACCAAGGGGAAGGGGTTGGGGTGGGTGCTTGATCAAGGGTTGGGGGGATAAAAGGGCACAATAATTCGCAATTATAAGTTGATCACAGGGACTGTTGAACCCTGTGATGTACATTTGAAACCAACATATGATTGTATATTAACACTTCAATAAAAATTTTAAAAAATAGAGCTTAATAAAGAAATCAGATGATGAATTTCAGAAATCTAGAGTTATCAGACACTTAGATTTTTCAGTGAAGGACTTTGATTTGCTCAAGAGGCTAACTCTACTACCAAAACTAGCCTGGGGAAAGCAGAACTCAGTGAGAGTAAAGGAACTTATACCGGAGTCTGAATCTTTGCTTTAGAATCACTAGCACTACTTTTCCAATTCTCAGAACAGCTGAGAAATAGATGGCATAAATAAGGGTTGTAGGCAATATCAGTATAATTAGCTGTCACAGAATTATCCACACCGCAGAGGGAGCTGTTTGAAAAGATACTGTTACCTAACGCATTCAGAGGAGTCCAAAGGACAAGATCAAGACCCAAAATATCCCTGTCCAAATCGAAAGACAGGGATGCTGTCCAGAAGGCCTGGCCAGATGAAAAGGCCAAAGCAGAATAATGATTGGAATAAACAGAAATACAAACCAGGTGGGCAGTTACACACAAAAACAAAATCCTAGCATGTAGTGTGGGGTTCCCACCAGAAAAAAATAAACAGTTGGGTCCAGATCCAAAAGAAGCAAGCCTGGGTATATTGACCTGTTCCATTCCTCCTTTTCAGTCACCTTCCTGAGGTAGGCAAATGAGAACCAGGAAACACACATTGCTTTCCACTGTCATTTGTGAAGATTGTGTCTGTGCTGAAGATTGTATAAGAATGATTTGAGTCCTCTGGGGATATCTTTTCTTTACAATTTAAATGTTCTGAGGCATTTGGAGTTAGCAGTTCATTTTTCACAAGGAATTATTTTACATATTCACGTAACAGTATTTTTAGTATTTATTTCAGGTAAATTATGGATGATCAACTATATTTTTGCAGCACTAATCCCTTGAAGAAATTGGAGTTTCAGACACTTGGAAATTTAAGGAATATTTAACCCATTTTCTTAGAAATGTCATGTTTTGATTAGAAACTCAAAAGATTGTAAGAAAAATGTTTTTAATTTTAGAGAAATACTTGGGGAGAGCAAATAGATGCCAGAGATGCAAAAGAGATTGCTACCTTAATATATGAAAAACTAGAAAATCTCCAAAATCATGGAAAGAGAAATAAGGTAAGTACTAAGTGTAGAGCTGACTTTGGTAAACAATTATCTAAACTTATTCTTACTCTGCATTATATCTCTCAATAAACAGATTAAATGAAGCTTCAAAGAATAGTAAGGAAAATACAATCAGAACGTAGCCTCTAGATACTGAAATGTTTAGAAATTTAACTATGGCAATAAATCATTTAAATTCACTTCAAATGTAAATAAAGAATCAACTTGTTAGGAATAAATATACTGGAGCCTCATATACATTTTAGATAGCAAATTTTCTTTAGTGTAGTCAGGATGTGCTAAAGCCCACATTCATCTTGGCTCCTTTTCCTGCTATTCTTCAAAAGGGCTGTTCATTATCTTTTTTTTCCTTCATCCATGTGACTTTATTTTATTGTTGGGATGTTATACCTATTTATCCACTTCATCTGTTTTGTCCATCCCCCTTCCCTGTGTCAACCCCTAGTTTGTTCTTTGTATTTATGCATCTATTTGTTCATTCCTTTTTTTTTTTTAAGATTCCATAGGTAAGTGAAATCATATGGTGGCTATGTTTCTCTGACTTATTTCACTTAGCCTGGTCCCCTCTAGATCCATTCATTGTTGTGAATGCAAGATTCATTGTCTATGGCTGAGTAAGTTTGCATCGTGTGTGTGTGTGTGTGTGTGTGTGTGTGTGTGTGTGTGTGTGTGTGTGTGCGCGCGCGCGCGCTACATCTTTATCCATTCATCATTCAGTGGATACTAAGGTAGCTTCCATATCTTGGGTCTGACTTATTTCACTTAGCCTGGTCCCCTCTAGATCCATTCATTGTTGTGAATGCAAGATTCATTGTCTATGGCTGAGTAAGTTTGCATCGTGTGTGTGTGTGTGTGTGTGTGTGTGTGTGTGTGTGTGTACTACATCTTTATCCATTCATCATTCAGTGGATACTAAGGTAGCTTCCATATCTTGGCTATTGTAAATAATGCTGCAGTAACCATTAGGGTGCATGTATCTTTTCAAATTAGTGTTTTTGTTCAGGAACATGGCAGAAATGGAATTACTAGGTCTTACAATTATTTCTATTTTTGATTTTTTAAGGATCCTCCATGTCTTCCAAGTGGCTCCACCAGTTTACATTCCCACAAACAGTGCACAGGTTCCCTTTTCTCTACATCTTCACCAACACTTGTTACCTCTTATCTTTTTGACACCGGTCATCCTGGCTGGTGTGAGGTGATAACCTCATTGTGGCTTTGATTTGCATTTCCCTGATGATGTGATGTTGAGCGTCTTTTCATGTGTCTTGGCCGTCTGTATGCCTTCTTTGGAATAATGTCTATTCAGTGCCACTGCCCATTTTTTAATTGTATTTTTTTTGATGTTGAATCAGTTCTTATATGTTTTAGATATTAACCTCTTATCAGATATATCATTTGCAAATATATTCTCCCATTCAGTAGGTTAACTTTGCATTTTGTTGATGGCTTTCCTTTGCTTTTTCCTAAAAGCTTTTTAGTTTTATATAATTCCACTTGTTTGTTTTTGCTTTTGCTTCCTAAGCCTGAGGAGACATATCTAGAAAAAAATCGCTAATTCCAATTTCTGAGAGTTTATTGCCTATGTTTTCTTGTAGGAATTTTATGGTTTCAGGTCTTATATTTAGGTCTTCGATCCATTTAGAGTTTTTGTGTATTATGGTATAAGAAAGTGGTCCAGTTTCATTGTGTTGAATGTAGCTGTACAGTTTTCCCAACAGCATTTATTGAAGAAACTGTCTTTTCCCCATTTTATATTCTTGCCTTCTTTGTTGTGGACTGACCATATATGCATGGGTTTATTTCTGTACTCTGTTCTGTTCCACTGATCAATCTGTCTGTTTTTTTGCCAGTACAATACTATTTTGATCACTGTAGCTTTCTAGTATAGTTTAAATCCAGGAGCATGATACCTCCAGCTTTGTGGTTCTTTCTCAAGATTGCTTTGGCTATTTGGGTTCTTTCATGGTTCCATACAAATTTAGGATTATTTGTTATAGTTCTGTGAAAAAATGCAGTTGGTATTTTGATAAGGTTTGCCTTAATTCTGTAGATGGCTTTGGGTGATACGGACATTTGACAGTATTCTTTGAATCTGTGAGCATGAAACAGCTTTCCATTTATTTATGTCATCTCCAATTTCTTTCATCAGTGGCTTATAGTTTTCACAATAAACCTCTTTCACCTCCTTGGTTCAGTTTATACCTAGGTATTTTATTATTATTTTTGATGCAATTGTAAATAAGATTGTTTTAATTTCTTCTTTGTGATATTTTGTTTGTATAAGGAAATGCAGCATATTTTTGTATATTGATTTTGTGTCCTGCAATTCATTTATTCTAACATTTGTGGTCTTCTATATAAAGTATCGTGTCATCTGCAAATAGTAACAGTTTAACTTCTTCTTTACCAATTTGGATGCCAGTTTAATTTCATTTTCTTGTGTGTACTTCCCAGTACTATGTTGAATAAAAATGCTAAGAGTAGACATCCTGTCTTGTTCCTGATCTTAGTAGAAAAGCTTTCAGCTTTGTACCATTGAGTATGATGTTAGCTGTGGGTTTGTAATGCCTTTATTATGTTGGGGTATGTTCCCTCTATATCCACTTTGTTGAGTTTTCATCACAAATGGAAGCTGAATTTTATCTAATGTTTCTTCTGTATCTGTTGAGATGATCATGTGGTTTTTATCTTCCTGTTAATATAGTATATGATACTGATTGATTTGCAGATGTTGAACCAGCCTTGCATCCCTGGTATAAACCCCAGTTGGTTGTGGTGAATGATAATGTCAAATTTGTTGAATTCAGTTTGCTAACATTTTAAGGAATTCTGCATTTCAATTCATCAGGAATATTAGTGTATAGTTTTCTTTCTTTGCAGTGTCTTTGATTTTGATATCACAGTAATGCTGGCCTCAGAGAGTGAATTTGGGAACAGTCCTAACATTCTTTCCTTTTCTATTTTTTGAAGTAGTTTGAAACAGATAGGTATTAACTTCTCTTTAAATGTGTGGTAGAATTAATTTATGAAGCCACCTGGTCCTAGACTTTTTTTTGTGGAGGTTTTTGAATACCTGTTAAATTCCATTGCTAGTAATTGGTCTGTTCAGTTTTCCTATTTCTTCCTGCTTCAGTCTTGAAAGATTGTGTTTCTAGGACTTTAGCCATTTCTTTTAGGTTGTCCAATTTATTGGATGTAATTTTTTTATAGTAATCTTATAATCCTATATAATGCACACATAACTGGTATCGGTTGTAACTTCTCTTTCATTTCTGATTTTTTTTTAGTCCTCTCTTTTTCTTGATGAGTCTGGCTAAAGATAAATCAGTTTACCTTTTCAAAAAATTGGCTCCTAGTTTCATTGATCTTTTCTTCTTCTTGGTCTCTATTTCATTTATTTCTGCTCTGAAATTTATTATTTCCTTCCTTTTCCTAACTTTGGGCTTTATTTTTCTTATTTCTTAAAGTGTATGGTTAGATTGAGATTTTCCTTGTTTCTTGAGGTAGGCCTGTATCGCTTAAACTTACTTCTTAGAACTGCTTTTGCTGCACAAAGATCTTGAACCACTGTTTTTATTTTCATTTGTCTTAAGATTTTGTTTGTTTTTAGTTTTCTCTTTGATTTCTTTATTGACCCTTTGGTCGTTTAATAGCATATTGTTTAGCCTCCATGTGTTTGTTTTTTCCAGTTTTTTTCTTGATTCAAGTTTCATACTGTTGTGATTAGAAAAAGATGATACCATTGCAGTCTTAAATTTATTGAAACATTTTGTGGTCTAATGTGATCTGTCTTGGAGAATGTTGATGTGCACCTGAAAAGATTGTGAATTCTGCTATTTTATGATGAAATGTTCCATATATGTTAAGTCCATCTGGTTTAATGTGTCATTCAGAGCTACTGTTAACCTTACTAATTTTCCATCCAGATGATCTATCCATTGATGTAAGTGGGGTGTTAAAGTCCCCTACTATTACTATATTACTGTCAATTTCTTCATGTCTGTTAATATTTGCTTTCTGTATTTTAGGTGCTCCTACTATTGAGTACATAGATATTTACAATTGTTGTATCTTCTTGCTGGATTGATCCATTTATCATTATGTATTGCCCTTCTTTGTCTTTAGTCTTTTGTTTTAAAGTCTGCTTTGTCTGATATAAGTATTACTCCACAGCTTTTTTTTTTTTTCATTTCATGGAAGATCTTTTTCCATCCCTTTTTCCTACATAAATCATTGTCATTCAGGAACATACTTAGAAACAGACCAAAGGGTCCATGAATGCTGTAGTGCTTCCTGGATGGAATTTCATTCAACCATGTATGAGGTTTCTTGAATTGATTCCCTATCAGGAGGCAGCCTCTGGAGAGGGCTTGAGATGTCTGGCTGAAGTTCCATGTTGGAGCCACAGGCCCGGATGTAAAAAGCCTTATAGCCCGCTTTGAGAATTGTATTTTATCCAAATCTAAAAGATAAGAGATAGCTATGAATCTTTATTTTTTTGGTTGCAGTGCACAAAAGATTTTCTGATGTTTTGGCTATGTTCATTTTCTCAAGTGTTTTATTTTTAATTTGTGATTGTTATTTCATGTTAAATATTTGAAATAGAAAACAGTCATAAACCAGGATAAGTGAAATTAAGTTAAAGAGCATACCAAAATATGACATTGAAAGTGTATAAGACTATAATTGGTAGTATCTGCCATAAGTAGTTAAGAACTTTGAGATATCCTTTTCCAATTTTCCATTATTATAGTTAGGCAAGGCATATTTCATGTGTGATCCATTAAATAAGGGTAGTGAGTAATTATTTTTGAAAAGATATAAACTCTTTTTCTTTCAATCATTTTCATATTATTGTAGGATGAGCTTTAATGATGAAGATGAAGAAAAAATCAAAAAGAAATTCTGACAAGTGATATCAGAAGATATTTTTTTAGAATGTTACTGCATCATGATGGGAATAAATGAACATTATCTTGGACCTGTAATTGCAAGTCTGAATTCTGTACAACATTAGTATAAATGAAGGGTGTGCATATCTTTTCTGTAAAAAGCCAGATTGGAAATATTTTAGGTTTTGTAAACCATACTATCTATAGTTGTCACATTCTTTTTGGTTTGGTTTTGTTTACAACCCTTTATAAAATGTAAAAATTGTCCTTAGGTCAGGGCCATGTACAAAAATTCAGTAAGCCACAGTTCATGAACCATAGATTGCTGATAGCTGAAAATGAGGTTTAAACTGGTGAGCCTTCTGTGCTGTAATCTACATAACATGTATAAGTTAGACAAAGTAGACTGGCACTTGATGTTCCATGGTTGGTTAACTTGGTTTTCAGTCACCTAAAAATAGTCTCAAAATGATTCTCTGACCATGTTTCATTTAAAAAACACAATGTGGCAAAATAAACAGATACCCTATTTCCATGCTATAGTACAGTGAAGAGATTCCTCACTTCCCTTTCTAAAGGTTGAATAACTGATGTTAATTTTTCACAATTAAAAAAAAAATTTTGTAACAAAAGGTAAATCATACAAATTTCTGCAACATCTGGAAATACCTGAGGAAAAAATATTTATAGCAATTGCCTGGGCATTCTAGAATGCCCTTAAATATATTGACTGTGTAGAGTTATATATTTTAAAGATATGTGTTCATTTATTTTCCAGATAGCTTTCATAAAAGTTTCCCCTGTGATAGTAATAGACTTTTGAAGCATCTAATATTTATGTTTTTGCCTTCTGGACTTTTGTTTTGATATGCAGATTTTCTTTACACTTGCCTTTATTTCTTCATAGTTGTGTTTCACTCTTGTTCTATCTCTTCATTATTCAAATATGAAAAATAACTGCAGGTTTGTTTCACTGTATCTCATAATGGTACTGTGGTTATTCCAATTAGTTTACTACTGAAGGCTGCCATTTTCAGATAAACATTTGGCATACTAACTGAAGTTGTTTTTGTAAGAAAAGCATATAAATCTAAGGATGCAGTCTTTTAGGTTTCTTAGTTGTTTAGACTCAAAAGAATCCAAAATTCTTTTCCTTGCATCTTAACGAAACATGTAACTTGTAGTTGTTTAGTTGTAATTGAAAGTGTATAGAATGGTAAAAATTTCCCAGTTGATGAGAAGAGGTCAACAAATTTAAAAACAACTTCAGTTTCCCCAAAAACTTACTGGATTATGCTTTATTTTATTGGAAATGGTTATTTTGCCTTTGTTTTTTTTAATATCACTTTACCCCCTTCCCCAGTATTTCCTTATAAAGGTTGTTAATTTTTATATAAACTGTAGCTATAAAGTAAGTTTTTCATTTTTAAGTCTAACCCTGTTCTTCATAGTCTCTCCCATATTGTTGCTAGTGTATCCTTAAGTCCTTATCTTGGATTCTACTTTACCCATGTGAGCACATATAGAATGATCACCACTTCTAACCTTAATTTAACACTTTTTTGAATTGTGATCAGTAATAACAAGTGCCTTTTATTAAATTTTCAAAGCCTGGAAGTTTTCAGAATTGGCTTGTTTTTCTACAAGAAATCCAAAATGCAATACCTAAGAACACCTCGGTATTTACTGAATTAGTGTGCCAGTTATGTGACTATCATTGTGCTGGACAGTGAGGAGTATACAAAAGAAATCCAAGGCATGGGCCCTGTCTCTCAAGTGTCTAATTCACAGTTCTGAAGCCAAACCCACAAGTTTATAGGTTCCTGTACTACTACCTATAATTTCAAACTTACTAGTTTAAAAACATCTTATGCAGTAAACAAAATAGTAAATATTATATATCTTCTAGCTTGATCTAAGTATGTGCCTGTGGAATCAGCTCTAAAGCTAGGGCCACCTGGGAGTCAAGTAATTTATGTCAAAAGTAATATGTATCAGGAGGCTATTTTCTGTAATCATATGAGTGTCATTGGGTATTTCAAAGACAGCTGGAATAATTAAAGGTTTTAATGGCCACATTAGTACATAGACCATCTTTAAAGGTTTGTATCAATATTGAATCTAGGAATGCAGTGTCTTGATTACTTGATTGCACTATCTAGTCATGTGTACATTAACTTAGTAGTCTGTTGCCTTGAGAATTAATAATATTCAAAAGTGTGCTAAAGTCCATGTTAACTACTGATACAGAACTCTTCATTAAACATTAAACTGATATCCCAAACATTTTACTGGAGGAGATAAGATATTTTTGTAAGAAAAATGAAGAGATTTGGTACAATATAACGTCACAGGAGTCTCCTAAACTCACCTCCTCCTATGGACACACCCCTATGTACAGCTCCATACTGAACAACTCCCTCTGTGAGAAATCTAGACACTAGCTGAATGACTCCTATGCATCGGATGAAGGAAGAATATCCATGTCAAAATGGTAACAGGCTGTGATAGTCTTACCATAAACCCACCCTGGGTGCAGACACAACCAGAAGGGGAACTCATAATGCCCAGTTTCTCCATGAAGAGTGGAAGATCTGGTGCCCCAATTTTTAGGATTTCAACCTGAGAGGTGGGCCCACAAAACATAGCTTTGAAGAGATACGTCTTGCATCCATGAGACCCATGATGCTATAGCAACCTAAGAAAATGTTCTTGACAGGCTCACGTGGACTCACCATGGCTAACTCTTCAAGGTCCAGCATATAGTCAGTATACAGAACTGCTTTCAGCCTTTCAGTGAAAGAAGCCTATTTACTTCTTTTAAATGCTTCAGCCTGAGGAACAAGCATTTAGTTTAACACACCTAGAGGCCAAATGCAGGATTCTCCAGAGACCACAGAGGCTGGCATTTACCATCTTTACTCTCTTCCTCACTCCAGGTTGCCAATACCTCCCAAAAAGGAGGTTGTATACACATCTGGCACCCCTGCTTGTGGTTGCCACCCAGGGGACAACCCTTGATCACCTGGCTCTGGTGGCTTTACATTTTCAAATACACAGTATTATAGCAAAGTTCTTAGTCTCTGTCACCCCAGGGCTCAGTGCAGAGGGAACAGATAGAAATGCCTATCTCTCACTCTTCCCATGAAAGAGGTATATTTGCATACTTTAAAAGCTGCTGCCCAAGGCTTCTAATCAGCCTGCATCTAAGTGCTGACATCATCCCTTTTGGGACACTGACAAGTCTTGCACACTCACAGCTACTGAGAGCCATTAAGAATGAAGTTTGCTTGGATAATCCCAAAGGATTGAGAGAGTTGAGAACTAGTGTGGGCCTGATTAATAAATTTATTCTCCTACATGAGACCAAGCCTTCAAGACTGAAAGGGATGGCTGTTTTATCTAAGGCATGGAAACCAATACAAAGAGTAGAAGAAAATGACACAGGAATAAGTTACAAATAAAGGAACAAGATAAAAGTCAGAAAACGAACTTAATGAGGTAGAGGTGTTTTACCTGGTCATGAGTTCAAATATGGTCATAAAGATACTGATGTCAGATTTCAAAATGCATGAATAGAAGGACAATTTCTCACATAAAATATAAGAGGTACTAATATCAGAGCTGAAGAATAAAAAAACTGAAAAATTCAATAGTAGTATAGATGAAACAATCAAAGGATCAGCAAACTTGAACACAGGGAAGTAAAATTTGATCAGAGCAGCAAAAAGAAAAAAGATGATAAAGAGTGAAGATAACTTATAGGACACCATCAAGCAGACCAATATTTGCATTATAGGGGTCCCAAAAAAGAGAAGACAGAAAGGGATAGAAAAATTGAAGAAATAAAGGCTGTAAACTTCCCTAACCTGGGAAAAGAAACAGACATCTGGATCCAGGAAGCTCAGAGAGTTCCAAATAAGAATCTAAAAAGACCCAAACCAAGACAGACTGTAATTAAACTTTCAACAATTAAGGACAAGGAGAGAACTTAAGAGAAGCAAGAGAAAAACAACTTGCTATGTACAAGGGATCCCTCTAACACTATATTTTTTTTCAGCAAAACTTCGCAAGCCAGAAGGGAATGGCACAATACATTAAAAGCACTAAAAGAAAAGAAAATAGCCAACCAAGAATACTATACCCCCACAAAGTTGTCCAGAATTGAAAGAGAAAGTTTTCCACACAAAAGCTGAAGGAGTTCATCACCACTAGAGGGACCTGACAAGAAATGTTAAGGGACTTCTTTAAGCTGAAAAAAGGGTATTAATTAGTAACCAGAAAATGTGACAGTATAAATCTCACTGGTAAAGGTAGATTCAAAATACTCATAATGTTGGTAGGTTAATCACATAAATCTAGTATTAACTCAAAAGTAGTGAAAATACAATAATCTTGATATGATAAGATTTAAGTTGTAACATCAAATGCAGAAATGGGGGGAATTTTTGTGGGCAACTAAATTTAAATTAGTGCAAAATAGATAGTTCTAAAGATGTGTTGTGCAAACCCAATGGTAACCTCAAAGCAAAAACCTATAGTAGATTCAAAAAAAGGTGAAGGGAATCAAAGCACATCTCTACAAAAAGTCATCAATTCACAAAGGAAGGCCGCAAGAGAGGAAGAAAAGAAAAAGGGAAACATGAAACAGCCAGAAAGCAAGATGGTATTAGTTAGTAAGCCCTTACCTATCTATTAATTTAAATGAGTTTAATTCTCCAATCAAAAGACAGAATAGCTGGATGGATTTTAAGGAAAAACAGTCCCAATTCTATGCTACCTAGAAAAGACTCACTTCAGACTTAGACACACACAGACTGGAAGTCAAAGGGTGGAGGTACTACCTTTGTAATACATGCAAATGGAAGTGAAAAGGAAATGGGTAGCAATACTTAGATCAGACAAAATAGACTTTAAAAATGAAGACTGTAGCAAGAGAAAAAGGACATAATGAAACAGGTCAATTTAACAAGAGGAAATAACCATTGCAAAAATTATGCACCCAACATAAGAGCACCTAAATATACAAAATAAATACTAACAGACAAAAAGGGGGGAATTGACAGTAATGCAATAATAGCAGGGATTTTTCACACCCCTATTTACATGAATGGATAGCTCAAACAAAATCAAAAAGGAAACTATCCATAAACAATACATTAGTCAAGATGAACCTAACATATATACAGAAGATTCCATCCAAAAATAGCAGAATGCACATTCTCACGTACACATAGAACATTCTCCAGGATAGATGATAGGTCAGAAAGCAGGTATTTACAAGTTTATGAAGATTGAAATTATGCCACCTATCTTGCTGATCACAATGGTAGGAAACCAGAAATCAGTAAGGAAAAAGTGAGAAGATATACAAATACGTGCAAATTAAATGATTCCCTCCTAAACAACCAGTGAGATCAAAGAAGATATCCAAAGGGAAATAAATGAATGAAAACGGAAATAGAAAACATCAAGTTTTGCACAACGCACAAAACTAGCTGTTTCATGTTTCCCTTTTTCTTCCTCTCTTGCTGCCTTCCTTTGTGAATTGATGACTTGTAGTGATATGTTTACAACTGTTAAAAGCAGTCTGAGAGGAAAGTTATAACAATAAATGTATATAAAGAAATTAGATCTGAAATAACCTAACTTTACACATTGGAAACTAGAAAAAGAATGAATTAAGCTGTAAGCACAGTGCAGGATATCATAAAGAGAGCATAAATAAATGAAATAGATACCAGAAAACTAATGGAAAGGAAAAACAAAACTCAAAGATGTCCTCAAAAAAATAAGCAAGGTTGACAAACTTCAAGCTAAACTAAGAAAAAAAAAGACATAAAATTAGAAATGAAAGAAACATTATGATATGACAGACTGATATGACAGAAATACATACAAGGATCACAAGAGACTCCTATGAAGAACTGTATACCAACAAATTACGTAACCTAGAAGAAATGAATGCATTTATAGAAACATGCAACCTACCAACTGAAACATGAATAGAAAACCTGAGCAGACCAATGAGTAAAGAGGTTTAATCAGTAACCAAAACTCCTAACAGAACATTCCAGGACCAAAGAGCTTCATGAGTAAGTTCTACTAAACATTTAAAAAATAACTAACACCGGTGCTTTCAAATACTTCCAAAACATCAAGGAGGAGGGAGCACTTTCAAACTCATTCTAGGAAGATAGCATTACCCTGATACCAAAACCAGATGAGAATACCATATCCGAGTTAATAGCTAGTTACTGTAATCCAGATATAATGAAGAGCTGCACTGGTGAAATTGCTGTGGAGATAGAGGAGAGAAAGGATTCAAACAATATTAAGGAAATAAAATGGGTATGATTTAGTGCCCAAACAGATGTGATTTTTATGAAACCAGATTTTGCCTTGGATGATTGCTAAAATTTTAATTCAGTTTTACCATGGGCTCATTTTAATGCTGCTGGTGGAAAAGGAAATTGTGATGCATCTTCCTCAAAGTTACTACAAGAAAAGCTGAGCCATTATCTGGATATTGTAAAAGTAAATATTGCTCACCAGATCTCTCTTCAAGATTCAGAAACATGTTTTCATGTAATGACCTCTTAACATGAATTGCA